AAAACCTCCTTCCCCTCAGTGGACCGGGGAGGAGAAAATGACTCCCATGTGTAGCCCAAGGGCAGGAGCGTCTCGTCTCCCGCCCGTCTCCGTCCCCCGTCCCTCCCCCCTGCTGTCTTTGTAATGAGAAGGTATTTGTTGTCAGTGAGAGACGAGAGAAACTATATATTATCTTTTAGCCGAGTTTTTTTTTTTTTTTTTTTTCGGAAAAAAAAAGGGGAAAAGAAGACGCGGTTCTCGTCCCGTCCTCGTCCTCAAAGATAAGGTGTCTCCGGAGGGTTTGTCTTCTTAGAGGGGGGAGGGGAGTACTTTGTTAACAAATGGTTAAAGGTACTATCTCGACGGCGCCCCCTGCTGGGTGACGTGGATGTCCTCAGCTGTCTGAGGACAGTCCCAGCAGCAGCGGCGTCTGATTCTGGTCCTTTGTTGAAGACGAGAAGACGAGACATCAAGACATGACATGACGACGAAGACGAGATGACAAGAAGACAAAACGACAAGAAGACAACAAGACATGACGACAACAAGACATGACGACAAGACGACAAGAAGACGAGACGACAACAAGACAAGACGATGAGACAACAAGAAGACAAGTAAACAAGAAGACGAGACAACAAGACGAGACAACAAGACGATGAGACGACAACAAGACAACAAGACATGATGACAAGAGGACAAGATGACAAGAAGACAAGACGACAAGAAGACGAGACGACAAGATGACGAGACGACAACAAGACAAGACGACAACAAGACAAGACGACAACAAGACAAGACGATGAGACAACAAGAAGACAAGTAAACAAGAAGACGAGACAACAAGACGAGACAACAAGACGATGAGACGACAACAAGACATGACGACAAAAAGACAACAAGACATGACGACAACAAGACAAGACGACAACAAGACAAGACGATGAGACAACAAGAAGACAAGACGACAAGAAGACGAGACGACAAGATGACAAGACGACAACAAGACAAGACGACAAGAAGACAACAAGACATGATGACAAGAAGACAAGACGACAACAAGACAACAAGACATGATGGCGAAGACAAGACGACGTCAAGAAGACAAGAAGACGAGACGACAAGAAGACAAAAAGACAAGCTGACAAGACGGGAAGACAAGACAAGGTGACACGACGACAAGACGAGAAGACAAAAAGAAAAGACGACAAGATGAGATGACAAGAAGACAAGACGACGTCAAGAAGACAAAAAGACAAGACAAAATGACAAGACAAGAAGACAAGAGTAGAGGAGGGGGGGTAGAGGAGTGACAGGGTTATAGATGGTACCGAGCCACAACCAGGATCCAGTTCCTGAGGGTCTGTGTTGACATCACCACGTCCTGTTTACGACCACGACGTACAATGCTACATGCTAGTGGTTAGCGATTGCAGGCGTAGGGCGTAGCTAGTGGCTGTTGAGCAACTTGTCGAAACTTTCAACAATAAAACGTTAACGCGTGATAGAAGAGTTCAGCAGCGTTTGTCCTCCCTGAGGCTGTCTCCCCCCGAGTCTGTCCCCTGGTCTGTCTCCCCCCGAGGCTGTCTCCCCCGGTCTGTCCCACCCGAGTCTGTCTCCCTCGAAGTCTGTCTTCCCCAGGTCTGTCTCCCCCCGAGTCTGTCTCCCCCCCGAGTCTGTCTCCCCCAGGTCTGTCTCCCTCGAGGCTGTCTCCCCCAGGTCTGTCTCCCCTCGAGGCTGTCTCCCTCGAGTCTGTCTCCCTCGAATTCTGTCTCCCCCAGGTCTGTCTCATCCAGTCTGTCCCCAGTTTGTCCTCCCCTTGGCTGTCCCCACAGTCATCCACCCAGTTTGTCCCACCCAGTCTGTCCACCCAGTTTGTCCCCCCCAGTCTGTCCCCCGGTCTGTCCCCCCGAGTTTGTTCCCTCAGTCTGTCCACACAGTCGGTTCCCCCAGTGATCGCCCCGAGTCTGTCCCTCCAGGTCTGTCTCCCCCCTTCTTTCCCCCTCCTCTCT